TTGAGCAATAGATACTCTTCATTTAATTAGAGGTATTTTGGTTAGGGTAAGTTGATTCTAATCTTGAAGCAAGGCTTATTAGCTATTGTTGAACAAGTATTACTAGAATTTCAAATCGAGACGAGTTTTACTTGCGGTTATTATGCAAACAACAAAGAATTGAAATAAGACTATATATCTTGAATATAGTACACCTTTTTTTCTGTGTATCAAAGTACTGTTAGAAGTGGGCAAGGTGGGTCGTAATAAGTGATGGGCCTTACAATATATGAAATATATCTAAAAAAAAAAAGGATTAATATACGTATTCCAATCTATTTACCGAAAGTTATTTTATAGAAAATACCATTGTAAATATCGTAAAAATGATTACATTAGTCTTAGATACGTTTTTGATATAAAATTATTACATTTTGTTTTCTTTTTTTTTAATATTTCATGAAAGTGACTATTTAACCGCCATTATAAGTCTTATTGTAGATTTGTTTTTGCATCGTCAAAAAACCATTTTCAACTATTCATACTACCTACTGGACTACCAGAAACAAACTTTGTGTTAAATCACAAATTACATTAGGCGAGGCAAGAGTTGTATAACATTATTTTATAGCATTTCCAATAAAAATTACATTTGTATACCCTAAAAGGTATTAGCTGTAGATATGTTTTACAAATTTGACATTATGTGGTTAAACCTTAGATAAAAGAGACCAGCGATATAACATACACCGGTGTTTAACCTGCGCAAATGTTGCCAATTTCTAGAAAAAGGTTAACGGAGCGGGGGAACTGGGCGGCGACACGCAGCGACCCGAACTCTGTGGCAGGGACCGGACTTTGTTTATTAGCATCATAATGAACTATTAAATTTATTTAAAAGGTGTTTAATCGAATTTTATATTATGAAATAAAATTAACGTGATTTTTTAATATCAAACAGATGCCACGACCTTTTATAGAATATTTCGTTAGCGTTTATTTACTACGGACTTTTCTGCAAGAGATTACAGAAAAAGGTTGAAATAGAATATATTATTGATAGAGCAAAAAATGTTACTCATTGTCTACGAGTATTATAAAAATAGCATGTGCGCAGGCGAATACTGCAAATCTAACCTTATGAGTTGAACATTATATTTTTTCTACGGCTATTACATAATAATAAAAATTAGTCAAAATGAGAAAATGCTGTTTTGTATTATAACCTCAGAAAAAGGTATGTTAAGGCTTCTTTCTTTAGGAATATTAATTATTATATAGGATGAGTCACATAAAACTCTAGAAATGCATATGTCTGAAACCAGATAACATTTTAAAATTTAAATCTATTAAAAGTAATTTGGTCGCTAGGGATGAGTGATTATTGAAATAACATATTTTTTTGTCATTTCCTTTAAAATTGACTACTTGATTATCTTTGAAAAATCAAAAATAATCGATTAATTAAAAAGCCAATTAACCGATAAATCAGTGTTTACAAAATATAATAAAAAAAGAATTATCGTTTATTTTAAATAATCGTTTATTTTAAATAATCGATTATTTTCAAATAAACCATTTTTTTTCGTCCGTGGAAACAGATTATTCGATAATTTTTAAAAAATCGAAAATAATCGATTAATCAAAAATAATCGATTAATTAAAAAGTCGATTAACTGATAAATCGATTTTAAAAAAAAAAAAAACAGAATGATCGACTATTTTAAATAATCGATTATTTTCGATCAATCGATTATTATCAATAATCTATTTTTATTGTATTTCCTTTAAAATCGATAATTCGATTATCTTTGAAATAAGAAAAATAATATATTCCTAAATAATTGTCTGTCGAAAATAACTAATTATTTCAGAAGAAGATTCTACGATAAATCGATTTTCCAAAAAATAACCGAATTATCGATTATTTTCTAATAATCCATTTTTTTCGTCCATTGAAACAGATTATTTGACAATCTTTGAAAAATCGAAAATAATCGATTAATTAAAAGTCGATTAACTGATAAATCAATTTTCAAAAAAAAACAAAATTATCGAATATTTTAAATAATTGATTATTTTTCATCGATCGATTATTATCAATAATCTACTTTATTGTATTTCCTTTAGAATTGATAATTCGATTATCTTTGAAATATCGAAAATAATCGATAATTTCAAAATAATCGCCTAATCGAAAATAACCAATTAATTAAGCCGATTCTATGATAAATCGATTATTATCAATAATCTTTTTTATTGTATTTCCTTAAAATCGATAATTCGATCATCTTTGAAATACCGAAAATAATCGATAATTCTAAAATAATCGCCTAATCGAAAATAACCAATTAATTAAGAAGCCGATTCTATAATAAATCGATTTTCCAAAAAATAAAACGAATTATCGATTATTTTCTAATAATCCTTTTTTTAATATTTCCTTTGAAATTGATTATTCGAATATCAAAAATAATCGATTATTAAAAAGCTGATTATATTCAATCGAATAATAAAAAAACCGATTGAACGAAAATCGATTATTTTGAATAAATTTACTTTTTTTTGTATTTAAAAAAATAATTTATTAAAAACAGCGGATAAATCGATTTTCATAAAAAAATATCAGAATTATCGATAAATCGATTATTTTTGTAACCCCTATCGGTCGTTTGCTTTTATCCGAGCGTTTAGCTCAAAAATTTAGAGATTCGGATTTTTTGATCCCGTTATCTTTGAAACCGCATTCGATAGTATAATACCTAAATAATAAATATTGCTAAATTTTGGATTTTTTTAGTAAACGAAAATTTTGTTCGAGTTGTTTAGGGGTTTGTAATGTAACATTTTAATAATGTGACCAATTCCCGTAACTTTAGTATTTTTTTGCTTATACTAGATCATATGGTGCGTTTTACTTTGTTTTAAGACTGAAGATTCAAATGTCACTTTCGATTTGACCGCAAATAAGATGAACCTTGTAATTTTAAGTAGGTCATCCTGTATTTTATCTAATATTCTTTTAAAAATACCTTATAAAAATAAAATTTAGCTAGCAACTATGATTCTTTACTTCTTATTTATCTACCAAAAAGGGCTTAAAATCACATTTAGAAAACATTCTTATAAAACTACTTTTTAAATACAAAATTTCGTTAGCAATAATGCCTATTTACTTTTTATTTAAATTAAATGTTCAAAATTTTATCTTTTTGTAAATTTATGTAAGTAATATGAAATCTGATTTCGGATGCTTAATATTTATTAAAACCCCTTAATGCGGATCTGAAGTATTCAGCCCAGAGAATCATGGCGCTTTATGTCAAAACGTTAATAAATATTTACTGCTGAAAACGAATATGTTCATAACATTAGTACTTGTATTATAAGTACATACATTTTTTCAAGATACATCGTGGCATTTTGAACTTGATTAACTAGAGCACTTTAAATTGCTAAAATACCAACAAATAAATCAAAAAACAGCTGTCAATGGTGATTAAACTCAGGTGGAGGTGATCGATGAATGGAAAAATCGGAGCAATTCGGGTGGCGTCGTGCAAACAATGATTTTCAATTGGTGGGTTACTTTGGGTTAAAATAGACAACATGCGCAGTGTGCAATGTTACATCTTCGGTCTCTTTAATCTAAGGGTTAAACGCAGTAAACGCACTCATAAATAATAAATCTACTGTCATTGGCGCACTGTTGTCATTGACACTGTCAAACACTGCCTTTGATACATAAATTACGTCTTTACTAAAATCAAAAGATTTTAGAATTATTTGAACTTTAAACATAATTTATTTCAATATTCAAACGTCGGTACAGGTGTGGTATATAGGTACTATTTCACATGATATGTGGTTAAGCAGCCACTGTCATATTTAAAATAAAGTATTTCCTCAATGTGTTCTATCTGTACCTTAAAACCGCCATTAGCATATAAAACTAATAAGGCAAACAAAATACTTTTTAGGACTTCTCAGTTTTAAAAAGCTCCTGCTACACTTTTAAAAGAGTTTCATAAAACAATAGCAAAAACATTCAAAAAGTTCAATCAAACTGGCATAACCTAATACCACTCTTGAGCTTCTTATACGAACAAGTCATTAAAAATATAAAAATTAGTAATAATATATTAACCATTTTTCTCTTTTACTGATCATTTCCAGAATATTAGGGACCTTGGAATGTTTCTTTAGTATTTGTTAAATAATGGCACACAATAAATTTGTTAAACACTGAGGAGAAGGAAGAACATATACTTATCATATAATTTTTTTTCACTCTCTGTGGAAATTACCACTTTTCTTTATTTTGAGCAGTTTATCTTTCACCGTCAACATAATGTGATTGGGTTTAAAAGCTAGGTTATGCTCTATAACAAACTCTAGGTCTTATTAAAACTATGTAGTTTTAATGGACTCCTATCATTTACTAAATTAAATAAATTATAAGATTTATGTTTTAAAAATTGTAGAAAATGTACCTAAAAGGTTCTGGAATCAATTTAATTTAAAGTATAATCCTAAAACACTTTTTAAAACTACGTTTTCAAACCTACTTAAGATAACTGCTAAAAAGTATGCCTCTTTAACAAAAAACACACCTTGGTTCTTCAAACTAAATAGTTCTAAAATTACTTATTAGGTAACCCTTAAAGGACAACGACAAAGCATAATTTACTTTAGAATAAACTAGTATTTTTAAACAGATTTAAAGGAATCTATAAAACCAAGTAATAGATCGTGTTATCCTGCAGTCCCATTAGAAACAAAAAAAAATAACTAATAGAATAATTATTAGTTTTTATGCCTTTACAAAATCTAATATAAATAAAACTTGTTTCTCCTAAAAAAGTTAATTGGAAGAGACCATATGCAACTCCAGAATTGAAAACGTTAATAGCGTACTAGGGTCAGGTAAAAAGTATAAAACATATTGACTATTATATCCAGGAAAAATATAATAAATTTTTTGATAATAATAAAATAACCGTAACTATATTGAAACATACCTGTTATTCTACCAATTTTTTCTCCTATTTCAATATGAATACGTTGAGCAGCATTAGCCCCTATTTGAGCACCCATACTGTGACCAACGATATGTACGCTTGACATAGAATAATATTTAGTCTCCGCCAAAAATATCATAAGTTTCTTCACTTGTTTCGCTACAACTGTATTGTGAAGTCTCGCCTCAACATATGTAACACGTGAAAGCTTAGACCAATTCACAACGAGGACGTTCCAGAAATTAGTACCGGCTAAAACTAAAACGAAAATAAATATTTTGGGAATTTAAAGAGTTTAAAAATTATATTCATTAGAAAAATGTATACCGACTTCTTATCTTTTTCAAAATATCTAGCAAAGATTTAGTGATATAGACCAAACAAAACATTGTAACACAAAATGATGATTTTTCTTGAGTTTAGTAAATTTTTTGTTTAAATATAATTTATCAAACCTTCTGCCAGCTCACGAACCCATGGTGTATCGTTTCCATGTGTCCATCCATGAATAATAATTATTGTTGGCTCATCTGTATTAAATTGGGTTTGCTCAAACGAAGTGGAATTGCCAATAAAGATTTCATAATTTTTTGAGAAATTCTTCCTAAAAGAGGTAAAATTTATATGGACGAGTGTAAGGGGTAAAAGGACAAAATATTTTTGCATGGGCAGGCTTAAGAGGAAAAGTTGGCAAATATTTTAACAAGAGCAGGCTTAAGGGCGAAAAGGTCGAAATATTTTTAAATTGGTTTAAGAGTTGATAAATATTGGAAAAATCATACCTTATAGACCGTTACCCAGCAAACATTTTCTATAACATTTGTTATAACTCGACTTTGTTAAAGACGAATTTACTTATTGAGGTAATTATTACGTAAAATTGACTAGAAAAATATACCTCTAATGTAAATTTACCAAACGGTTTTAATTTATATTTAAATTTACGTAAATTATACCAAGAAATCTACCTTTTACACAAATCTGCTTAAAAGTAACTTTAACCATATCAGCAAAGGAAAAACTACTAAAAAAAATAACCAACAATTACTTAAAAGTTAAATTTCCTTTGTAGTAAAATTAGGTGCCATATTTATGTAATACCTACCTGTTTGGCAACTAAAAATCGTCTTTATAGTAGAATATCCAACTAGGTAGATTTGGTTAAAAATTCTACGTAATTTTATGTCTCCATAGTAACCTATTTGGCCGCTTTTATTTACTCTCCTTTAAAGTAATATTAGGTCGAGATTATAGCAAAATTCTACCTGTTTATCTACACAATTTCAACCAAATAGTCGAATACTCATTTAGTTGACCTATAAGTCATCTTGTAGAAATATTTATTAACTTTGTTGTAGCAATTACCTGAAAAATCTACCACAAAGTAAATTCGACTAAAAACCACCAATTTAAAAAAAATCATACATGACCTATTTGTAAAATTTATATCATTTAGGTTATTTTAACAATTAGGTTGTTTAGTTACTGTCTTCGTCATTATTCTTAAGAATTTCGGCCATTTTAAAAAAACCATTACAGTCGTAATCTTAATTTACGTGTGGTGTAGATAGAGCTTTAAATGAGTGCGAAAAATAATTAATAAAATGAGTTAAAATAATAAATCATATCAGTATACTTCCGATTTTTATCGTAAAGTGAAACGTCTAAAATCTCAAGTGCAGAACAACGTGACCTAAATATGTTATATTTACCTATAGGTAAATTTTTTATAAAACCTATAAGTTAATATTTCTTTAAATAAGTAAAGTTAACTAATATGTCGTGAAATTGAAGTTAATTCAACTTAGTAAAAAGGTATTTGTAAAATACGTAGATTTCCTTAGTCATAATAACTTTTAGGTCGAATTCGCACAATACGCAATATTTTCTTAACGTAATTGAAGTACGATTCCAAATTTTAAATTTTTAAAATGACCATAACTAAAACATACGAATGAAAATATGGAAAAACGAAACATTATTGATTTTCTAAAGTGGTACACAACAAACGTAACATAGTTTTAGCTCATAATATTATTATTATTCTTTTACACGATCATATTTTTTTCTTATATTTTTTTAATTAGAGAGTATTTTAAAAGGGCATTGTAATTTATCTAAGTAAAACTGTTAACATGCACGACAAAATTTTCTTCGCATTAATTTCAACAAGCATGAACTATTTATTCACCGCAATGACATTACATATATTTTTGTCACCGACATTTATTTATTTTCAATCTTTCATGTGAATTAGGTATATGTTTTAGTTGTGTTGGTGACTTCTTACAATATTTCTACTTATATATAGATAAAAATACCAAATAAGTATAACATTTCTTTTCGTACACTTGGAGGCATACCTCATCTGCAAATATTTTGGTAGTTTCTACCTAAACTTAGTTAAATCAACGTCGAATTAACGTTATACTGACGTCAAATTTCCCTAGAGAGGTATTACTAACCAAACGTACTGGGCTACTACAATGTGGATTTAGAT